CTCTCTCTCTCTCTCTCGCACACAATAGTTGAAGCTTTCCTTTTTCTGCAGGAGGAGATTATCACCTGCTGACCTGGCCAGAGGTCAAGAGAGGAAGTGTTGACTTTCAGTGAAGTGTAAACTGGGTCAAGGTAGGAGGAGGAGGAGGAGTCTAGAAAAATACCCTTCGTCACATAACCACAGCTCGGCATTTCAAAGAATGAGAATATTTTACTAAAATGTCTTCATGGAATGGAGTTTTATTTGTTTTTTTTTCATGTGTTGTGTGGTTTCACAGTCAAAATTTGCTTTTTGCCCAGATCCTATGCAAAAACACCACACATTTTTATGTGTTTTTTTATAGTTATGCTTCAACTTAAGTGTTTTCTAAGACAATCAATTGATCTAATAGTGATTTATATATATATATATATATATATATTCCAGTACTGGGAATTATCCTGACTTTTTTCCAGTGCACACTTGGAAAACCTATATTTAAGGGCAGAAATACATTTATTATATCCTCTTTTAATACAATCTTAAAAGAAATTCATGTTGTTATCTACCCCAGATAACATATTAGCGGTTTCTCTTGCAACTTTTTGAAAAAAACATTACTTTGCATTGCACAGTCTTACAGTGCAACCAGCAGTGCTGAACTAATGAATATCTCTCTCTCTTGCTTCAAAGAGGATTACTGGTCCTTCTGCTTAGCTTAGTTACCTCAAATTAGGATAAGGGTAAGGAGAGGTCTGCTGTCTACAGCGGCCATCTGTCTGTGGACAGTCGAGCGCTCACGCTGCTGTAAATGGAGACAAGTCTGGAGTTGGATGTTTTGATATACCCAGATGAAGTGAGGATTGCTACTCCGGAGGAGCTTGCAGAATGGGAACTGGAGACTGCGAGCCAGGTGTCCATACCCACCGTCCGACTCTTTGTGGCCCTTTACCCATACAACCCTGCTGCAATGTCTCCTAACTATGAGACGGCTGCAGAGGAGCTACCTTTTGTACCAGGCCAGATAATCAAGGTAAAAACAAATGTGACGTCTTTTACTTTTGCTACTGGATGTTAAAGTTGTGCAGGTAAATGGTGCACAGTGTTTCATGGTGCTCTCTAAGTGTGCTGGGATGTATAACTCATACGTTTGAGTTTTATTTTCTCACTTCATTACTTTTGAAAAGCTTCTTCGAAAGAACATGATGGTGTTTCCTGTTTGTGCTAGATTCAGGGCAGCTGAGGGTGCACAAAGATATGAGCTTTTTTTCTTTATTTCCTGTCACCATTTCCAACTGATTGATGTGATTTGCCACCTTTTTACTGTCTACTGCTGCAACATGAAAATATTCACATGCGTTTCACAAGCAAATCCTAAAAAACAGTAATAAAACCAACTGTATCTGCATTTATCAGGTGTGTGGAGACAAAGACTCCGATGGTTTCTATCACGGTGAGTCTGGTGGTCTCTCCGGTTATGTGCCAAGTAACATGGTGGCTGAAATCCCAGTGGATGATGAGTACCTGAAGCATCTACTCATGCAGCAGGGATTCCTTCCTGTGGACCACGCAGGTATCGGGCCTGTTTCTGTAGGACACTGTGCTGTGGCTGTAGGGGTGAGAGGCGGTTTGCACTGAGCCGCTCTCTGGATGAATGTTTGTAACTGAAGGAAGTTGCTAAAGTTAATAAAAAAGATACTAAAATATATAATAAGTAGAAGTAACACACAAATCATAAGTGTATATTTGAATACATTCTAAATGATAAATCATTTCTTTCAGTGCACTTTTTCAAAGGTAGTATGTTTAGGTTTTATGGTATTATGCTCTATCTGACCCCTGTGCACACTGGTGCTCTATTGTTTATTATTTTAGGATTAAAGTTGTGTGATTTCAAATAGAGTGTTTGTGTGTTTTGGCCCACAGGTATGTCTTTCACGCCAGATCCGAGCGACATAGGCAGTATCCCTGATGATGTAGTTGTTCGACGAATGGTGGCCTTATTTGACTATGATCCATGGGAAAGTTCACCCAACATGGACAGTGAAGTAAGCACTATAATGACACATAAACCACATTATGTATTTAACCACGTTTTACAGTCTTATCTGTTGTTCAAAATACAAAAAGGTGGTTTGTGGTGATGTTTCAAAACATTAAAGTATTTCCTCTTTTTGTCTCTCAAAGGTCGAACTTGGCTTTCGTTCAGGAGACATCATATATGTATTAGGTGACATGGATCAAGATGGATTTTACTATGTGAGTGTCATTGCAATGATTGCCACTTAGTTTTTGCAATGACTTTTGCACACAAGTTTAACCGTTATGTCTATCTTTTTTAGGGGGATCTGCACGGACGGCGAGGTTTGGTTCCGTCAAACTATCTGCAGCCGCTGCCCTGGGATTAGAAGAAAACACCACGCTAGGATGTTTGCTACAGATGCCAAGTCTCAGACACAGTGAGAAATAAGCAGTTTTTATTTTAAAAAAAAGTTAAATTGACATTTTATGTGTAAAAAAATACATTTTTTATTTTTTTATTATAGTATGGCACTGCACCTGCTTTAGATTGCAAGTCAATGAAGGTTTATGCAGATAAGCAACTAATTAAGCCAGTATTACCAGTGTTTATCAGGATAAAAATAGTCCTTGTTATTGTCAGATAATTAATTTATTAAAAATGTGTGACAAAAATTACAAACCATTTTGTTTAAAAATACAAATCATACATGTTTTAAAACTCAAAAACCATGTAAAAAGAAAAATTAACTCACTTCATATTTGTCTACATTCACGTTGCTTCTACTTTATGCACTTTCACAAAAATTAATTTACAAAATGAAATTTTATATATCTGTATTATAATATGAACAAACTGTAATTATTTCAAATATACTGGATGGCAATGGATATTATTATTATTAATATGGATTATTTTAGCCTTAATAATACACATTTAGTCTCAGTTTTTTGCAGACCACAGTGTATTAATATAGAATGTTCATATTTGCCTTATATCCTGTTTATATATTTTCTATATTTGGCTCATAGTTTTTGAGTTTTGCAGCAGTTTTTATGTAAAAAAAAAATCACAACAGAAACTTTGTATAAAAGAAAGGATTGTAATCATGTTATCAATGTAATAACTATAAAGCAGAAACTGAAAATGAATAAATAATCTTGAATTTGTACAATGCTTACCTGCTTTCTTTTAACCATATATCTCAACTACTTGTTTGTACTGTCTACAATTTTACTATAGTAGTTTAAATCATTTTCTATTCTGATAAAAAATGTACATTACCTTATCAATTTATCAATTTGTAATAAATGAACACAATTAAATGACAAATGCAACATAGAAATTCAGCAGGTTTTAAAGTCCTTCTCACAGAGTCCGTTGGTTTCTTCTTTTACATTTCTCTGCAGCCAACAGTATACTCATCCATAAAGTAGGAAACACTACACTGTGTAAAGAAGTTTAGTAGTGCTTTCTACTTTATGGGTGACAACACTGTACATCAGTAGTTTCTGGTCGCTCCGCCGCAAACACTGAAGACATGACGGGTTGAGTAAAAGCAAGTTTTCACATATAAAATGTGACACAAGAACGTTCTCTAACATCATTTTATAACTGGGAAACATGAAAACAGATTGTTAGCAGTTGCATCCACAGTATTTGACAGTAATGTTGCTTAAAATAATGCTGACATTGTACATGTACATGTAATGACACATAAAGTTGTAACTACTGTATATTTTAGTGCATTTATATTGGAAATGTACATCAAATACAAGCAGCGACCAAAAGTAACTTGCTGTCAGGGTCTTACCAGCTTTGGACTCCGAAGAAGAAAGAAAACCCAGAAGTGAACGTGATCTTTATATTAACCCCCGTATGAGCCACGTGGTTCACACAGGAAAAGCTCTAACAGTCACACACAAACACACACACACACACACACACAAACACCCACACTTACACACACACACACACGCATGGAAGTGTATGCAGATGTGCACATTCGTGCATGCACACACACACACAGTGGTGGGAAATAGTATTTGAAACATGTTCTCAAGTTTGTGAACATGACCCTTTAATTTGAGCCATTTCATTGTAAAATATATAACATGTTTTTATGTTTTTTGAGAAATAATGATTCATTCTTAATTTAATAATAATAATAATAAGAAGAAGAATTGTATGTATGAACCTGTAGATGCTCCAGGTGGATACTTCACATACTTTCGGGTAGTGATTCTAACAATACTTTATATTTCAGAGTATTATATGTATAGTTGATGTACAATATTACTCTGTAAAGAAGCCCTTCAGATAAATGTAGTACTGTGGAAAAAAGTTTCACAATCTAGAAATTCTAGAAAAGTAAGAGTCTCTTAGAATTTAACTTTTTTAGGAAGTGTACTTAGTTACTTTACACACACACACACACA